AGTAGTTTTGGGGCTGTGGAAGGGACTGCATAGAGGAGGAGATGAGAGGAAAGTCCCATTGCATGAGGGAAAAGTTACTGTGCAAATGGGCTTTTTTGCAGACTTTTCAGAAGCTGTAGTAGTTATAATTTATTAATAAATGATTAGGAGCTAGTGAAGATTTAGGCGCATTGAGCCAGCACTTCAACCAATATAACTTTAAAAAATCAATAAATGGAAAAATCCATTGGAAGAATGAAGAAAGTTGACATTAAAATTGGGGTCATTGTGAGCATACTTATCTTTTAACTTTTAGTGCTATGATCTCTGCAATAATAGCCAAGTAAGTTCACTCTTAGTGTATGCTTGCATGCATAAATGGCCTTCAATCGTGGTTGAATGTTAAGTTCAGTGAATTACCAAAGGGGAATGTTCAGTCATCCATATAATCCCATGAAGAAGTATCTACAGTGGTACCTCGCAAGACGAATGCCTCGCAAGACAAAAAACTCGCTAGACGAAAGGGTTTTTTGTTTTTTGAGCTGCTTCGCAAGACGATTTTCGCTATGGGCTTGCTTCGCAAGACGGAAACGTCTTGCAAGTTTGTTTCCTTTTCTTAACACCGTTAATACAGTTGCGACTTGACTTCGAGGAGCAACTCATAGAACGCGGTGTGGTAGCCTTTTTTGAGGTTTTTAAAGACTTTGGTGATTTTTGAAGCTTTTCCAAAACTTTCCCGACACCGTGCTTCGCAAGATGAAAAAAATCGCAAGACGACAAAACTCGCGGAACGAATTAATTTCGTCTTGCAAGGCACCACTGTATAGGGTAAGCAACTGAAGAAAGAAATTTGTCAACATACTATCAGGTATAGAATCAGAGCTGGAAGGAACCTTGAGATCATCTAGTCCAAACCCTTGCAGGGCAGGAACATTTTCCCTTTCTCCAAATTAAAATATGTGGGTAGGTAGGTGAATTTTGTTTATAACCAACTGGTTTTATTCGATTCTTCATTCAACATATATCCACATTCAAGTTCTACCACAGAAAATACAAAAAAAGTATTTTTATCCTTTGAATAATAAGCAGGACTTGGTTCAAAAAGCAATACTCATAATTGTAGGTTTCTTTTCCTAATAGTTCTGTCATAGTGTTACTGATTCATCAAATTATTCATCTAATTATTTACTCCATTATGTGAATTCAACTTATTTCCTTGTAAACTTGACTCACTTGAAGGCAAATCATATTCAAATATTATGTCAGTCACAACAGTAATTACAGTAATAAGAACCTGCTGTATGTAAAGGAGAAGATTCTCATATTTAAGGTGGTATACTTTATTAAATATCAGTAATATATTAAGACATACTTGTATTCTTTCGAACAATTCATGCAAGAAGACATATTCATGGGGGGAAACTCTAAGTTTCTGCCCAATTAGCAATTGTTTAAAAAAAAAGCAGTTTGGGGCCCTTTTATATCTTCTTTATGTATACAGGATACCTCTTAGTTGTGTTTCTGTTTATATTCTCTAGGCTAGTAAAGTACAAGCACCAGTGACTATGTGGAACAATTACAGCATCATTCTACCCATGACAGTTTACAACAGGGATAGTCAATGTGGTGTCCTCCCCCCCAGGTATTGTGGACTCCAGTCAGCCTCAGAGGTGTGGCCAGTTGCCAGGAATGATGGAAGTTCTAGGTCACAACACCTGGCATGCACCACATTGATTCCTGCAGGTTTGCAGAACACAAATGTGCTTAACAGAAAAGTATTAGATCTATCTGATGCATAGCTTTTTCAGTCGCCTCAAAAGCACATTTGTAGCCTCATATTAAGACTAATGTGAATCATGAGCAAATGGTTGACGTGCTTGGAGAGAGGGGATTTCTTCTAAATGTCAGGATCCAGTGCGCTGTCAATAGTTGCCAAGTTAATATCTATAGAAGAAGACAAAAAGAGTCATTGTTCTAGCTATTATAGTTTTCATTAAGAAGTAGTTTAAAGCTAACTGAAAACTGAAACCGTGGGAAGATTGATCAGGTATTCAGCCGTGGCAGATTGCTCACCTTATGAAGGGTCTGGCAGGATTTTGTCAGGCTGCAAATCAGTAGCTGGGGAAGGTAAACAGTAATGTCATAATCTTCTCAGGCAGTGGAAGGTGTTTGCAGTCTCTGCTATTGCCAGGCAAACTTTAAAGTACATTTTCTTAAAGATGGTAACTACAGTAACTATCATTGGTCTCTGCTTATCAAGTATGTAAGTGAACACACATGGAAGCCTGATACTGAAATCTGAGTGTAGGAAGAAGCCTCACTATTACAAGTTCTCCTGGTAACACAGAAAAAACAGGTTCCATTTTACTCTTAAGACATCTATTTTTGTTCATTTTAATGTTGCCAAAATGCAAATACAAACTTCTCAGATGTCCAAACATTCGGAGGGGACTGTTTTGCAAAAATACAAAAATATATTTATGTAGAGGGTTATCCATGTAACTTTGACAGGACACAGTCAAAGTATCAGTGGAAAAGTTACATTCTTTCCATACAACACAGGTTTACTTCTAAAAGAGACTCACTGGATTACTTCAAAACTGCCAAGAACTTTATTTGTTGGTGTTGATGAGGATTGTTATCACTAGAATTAAAATGTTCTGTTTTCAGTGCACGGTATTTTTAACTTCTAATTTCTCCCTTCTGACAGAGTGATTGCTAGTTTCCACTATGCCTGGACATAATGTTCCACTAAGTATTGTGTGGACTGAAACAGTATTTTTTTGTTAAACCAAAAACTCTTCAAGTTGTAAAATCCAGTTGTTTTGCACCAAAAGTTAGTGCAAATTTGGCTTTTGTGTAGTAGAAGGTGACTGGACACTATTCCAAGCTAAATCAGCAAAGTGTTCCCAATCTGCAATAGACCTTGATCTGAAAAGTATGCTTAATGCAATGATAGCCACAAAGGCTATTTGTTTTTTAATGCTTTGTAAACTTCCTTGCATGATGGAGAGCTAAGTTTGAAATTGTCTGTTTATACATTTGCTGTGAATTTGGAGCGGATCAAATACGTAGTTGTGCAAGCACACAACATATAAGGCTTCTGAGCAAATGTTATTTTGAATTGTCCATGGGATTTGCAGCCTTATATATTCAGAGAGGCACTGGAAGACAGAAGTGCCTGGCGTGGTCTGGTCCATGGGGTCATGAAGAGTTGGACACGACTAAACGACTAAACAACAAAAATATTCAGAGAGCAAGGGCTTTGGTGCCCTCTTCCCTCATATGCTACCTTTCCTTTGCAATCTCCAATCTGATTTACTCTGAGAAATGGTAGTTGCCAGATTTTTAATTCAGCCCTAAGTAACACAGCTGACCAAAGCAATAACAGGCTTATGAGGGCTGCGCATTGTGGCTCACAAGGAGACCCTCCCCAGAACCCAAAGAGGATGTCATTGAGGGTGGAGGAGCAGCAGGGCTTTGTTTAAGCTGTTCCGCCTCCCCGCCTAACAGCTGATACGTGGAGTAGCGCAGCAGCAGTAGCCACTTTCCCACGAGTCCTCCAGGTGGCCCTAGAGCTGAGATCTTCAACTAGAGAGAGTTGTGTGGCGATAGAGTAGGAGAGCTAGAGAGCTGGGGGGGAAATGGGCATTGTGCCCTGGTGTTCTTCTTTGCCCTTCTAGGGAAATCCACTGTGAAAAGTAGCTTTTAAGCTCTCTGCCTCTGAGCAAGGCCATTTCCTAGTGTGGGCTTTGTATTTAACTTGTGGGATTTCAACCAGCCAGCCTTCAACCATGTATACAGGCATCACCCCACTTATGTGGGGGTTACGTTCCCTCCACGTGCATGAATGAAATCACATGGAGAGCACCTTCTGAGAAGCGTCTAAATGTCCATTTGCCTACCTATCACTGCCCAACAGAAACCCGATGCGATTGGAGGCAAGCATATCATATTAGTACCCTAGCTTTTAGATCTGAGAGTCCCTCTTCCCACCCCTTCAGTAGTATGGTACCCACTAGGCAAAATCTGCCTCTGAAAACTTTTGTTCCTGCTTTTAGCATTGTCTGATAGAAGCGACTGAACTCTGGTGGAAATAAGCTGATGTTGAACTTTTAATGGTGGGCTTAACCTTCAGTTTTATGACAAATAAAACTGGCAGTCAAATTGAGGTGCAGTTCAGTACTGACTTCAAACTTTTTGTACAAATCATCAGACTGCCCCTCATTTCAAAACACTATTTTATTTCATTTTTAAAAAGAAAACTTTTTATTTCATTTTTTAAAAAGAAGACATTTTCCTTGAATAGCATCTTTCCATTTCAGAAAAAAAATTATTTGAAGATGTACACTCGTTTTCAGAAATAGCATGCTAGGTTAAAAAAAGAAAAGAAAATACTGCTGAGGCTGTGATTCAGTGGAATCTACAGAGAAATCCTTTCTTACAAGAACCCAAAGCCTAAAGCTTTCACAGTTCTGACAATGACGCAAGACTGGAAATAGAATAGCATTTCTTTTAATTTCACCCCTCTCTTTTTAACAGAACAACCGCTAAAAACCAAAATCTCTTAGCTAGGGGAAAATGTGGGACTAACGTATTTAAAAGGCAGAAGTTGGTTGCATCATAAAGGTTTTGGATGACAGAGGCAAAAGGATTGTGCTATCCTTATGAAGTCCTATTTCTGTTGTGACCAATGTGCACTTCATTTGATAATACATTCCATATATATTTCAGCATCTTAACTTGTCCCCATTTGAGTAGTAAGCTTATGCTTCAGTAAAAGCAAGCTGTATAATGTGCAGATCTTAACAAAATAAACTCTAGGTTGTATCCAAGTAAGTCAAATTCGCTTTCGACATAGATACACTCTCTGCATTAAATCCCTCCACCATTGCTTCATATATGACCCTCTGTTAGCCACCAAAATGACCATCACAGACTGGAAGGAAGGGTGCACACTAGCACATTGTACATATTTTGTACATATTTTACTATTATCATCCCTTGAAATGACCATAAATCCAGCACCTGCAGAAATCCACAAAGCGAGCTCCTATTCATTCTCTCTCTCTCTCTCTCTCTCTCTCTGTGTGTGTGTGTGTGAGAGAGAGAGAGAGAGAGAGAGAGAGAGAATAGGAGCTCGCTTTGTGGATTTCTGCAGGTGCTGGATTTATGGTCATTTCAAGGGATGATAATAGTAAAATAATTGGCTTTGCATTATGCCTTTAGAAAGAAGCTGTGGGTTGCTGGACATCTGCAGTTCTTCTCTTGCATTTTAATATTAACTTGCCACTGCACATGTTCTAAACACCCTTTTCCAGTGACTATCATTTGTCTACTCAAGTGTTCTTGGGAAAGCAGGAGACTTTGTATTTTCCCCAGCTTGACATTTTAATTGTTCTCGTACTCATATTTATTTCAGTTATTTCTATCATAATAAACACACAGTTCTCCAGATCATGTTATACCTTAAAATTCCTTACTCCCTGGTTGTAGTATATGGGTGTGTGTGTTTTTACAATATCTGTTACTAGGTAACAAAGCTGCTTAATAGAATGTTCTGTTCAGTTGTTCTATTCAAAGCTACACAAAATGGAATCTTGGGTTTTCTTAAGTGTGTCACATTCTTTTGTTTGAGCCTTTATTTCATGAATTGTAGGATTGACACCTAGTGCAACTAGTCAAGATTTTTCTGGCACTGGAAGATCGAGACTTGTTGTGCGTTCATTCTGATGAAAAAACTAAATTCATTTCACCGTGTTTATACCGTGGCTTATTTTATACAGTTCATGAGGCTGCCCGTGTTCTGTGCTATTCTTAGCATTCTCCTCACTTACCTATATCAACACACAAGCACATACAATGCCAATAATACAAATTGACAGCCACATCAGTCAGCTTCAAATACAAGTTCCTGGCTCTAGTTGCAATTCAGGTTTTTACTCTGCAAATTTGTAAACGTGATGGATTTCGTTTTGACATTAACTCCAGCCCTTCTCCCATCATAACCGGAGGAATTTTCAAAATGCTGCTCACCAGGACTTATTATAAATTCTAAGTAACTTCAATTTCAAAGCTGAGTACAAGTACATGAAAGCAACGCCAACTGATTTCAAATATATTTTATAGGGAAATGTGCTTGAAAGTGCATCCTTACACTGCAGTGATATATCTATTGGTGCTGCTTGGAATGAAGTAGCTACAGTGAATATATGAGCAGCTCTTCCTTACTTCTCCGGTCAAATCTCATACTCCTTACTCAATATACTTACAAGGCAGCTTCTTAGAAGAGTCAGAATAATTTCTATGGCAAATCTGGATGTGATATATAAAGCACATATCATTGTCATAAAGGTAAAGGGACCCCTGACTGTTAGGTCCAGTCGTGGAAGACTCTGGGGTTGTGGCGCTCATCTTGCTTTACTGGCTGAGGGAGCCAGTGTACAGCTTCTGGGTCATGTGGCCAGCATGACTAAGCCACTTTTGGCGAACCAGAGCAGCGCACGGAAATGCTGTTTACCTTCCCACCAGAGCAGTACCTATTTATCTACTTGCACTTGATGTGTTTTTGAACTGCTAGGTTGGCAGGAGCAGGGACCGAGCAACGGGAGCTCACCCCATCGCGGGGATTCGAACCGCTGACCTTCTGATCGGCAAGCCCTAGGCTCTGTGGTTTAGACAACAGCACCACCCGCATCCCATCATTGTCATACTACAGCATATATAATAATTTCCACTTTCGGTGTACAGAATACATACTGTATTTTATTAGTGTGCCTTCAGGGCTAGAAACATACTACCCTTGTAGGCATTGCTGGCATAGATAGAGGGATAATGATGGACCGTTATTGAAGTTTCTTCCCAGTAAACCACCAGTATGGCTCTGCATTGCTTGGGATCTCTGCTTTGTCCCCACTGACCTCATTCATTCATTCATTCATTCATTTAAAAGCAGATATTTCCAAAATACAAAACACCAAACAATTGTAATTCATTTCATATACCCCCCCCCCTTGTTGAGTGAGCATAAATGTAAAGATCCTGCTTACCATTTATGTGACATTTCACAGATCTCCATTTTGGCATTGCTGCATACAATAATAATATTAAGTCTTACTAACTATAGTATCCCAGATTAGGATAATGAGTCAAAGTTAATGACTGAAGAAAATACACCCCCCCCAAAAAAGGAGGGACTATATTTTCACAAAATGAAATTGTTCCAGGAAGAACAACACAATCTAAATGCGCAGTAAAAGTATTTATAGTAATGGTGCAGAAACAAAGCATCTAAACTGAGGAACAAAACAAAAGCTCCAGTTTTCTCTGCAGCATTCAAAAACAGCCAAGTAAAGAATGAGAACTCTGCATGGTTAGATTTTAAATGTGGTTATTGTGGATGCATGCATTTTTTTGGCATCTAGATATATTTAAGGAAAGCAAAGGAATCCCGATCTTTTGTCTGTTTTTGTGTTGAGGATATATTCAATTTGTTACATTTGTTTATTATTAGTATATATTCCAGTAAGGTTGGAGATACTGCTAAATAGGCTCCTCTGTAGGAATTCAAATTAGGACTGGACTGAACAGAAATAGAGACCATATTTTTGCAAGCAACTTTTGCAAGCAAGTTTGCAATTCAGAGAGCTTCAGCTCAGCTACCTGTGTGGTTTTGTAGCGTGCATGTCAGACTAGAACAGTGGCAGCCCAGGTTCAAATCCCTACCCAACAATGAAACTCATTCAGGTGATCTGGGTCCAGTCACTATCTTTCAGTTTTAGTCTTTAGGTTTGTTGGGCAGATAAACTGGATGAGCTTCTTGGAAGAAAGAATGTTCAAATTCAGCTTTTTAAGTCTTGTCACTTATGTAGCCAAAATGGCAACAGTCACATGAACAGGGGGAGGTAATCCGTGTGACGGGGTGAGCTCCCATTTCTTTGTCCTGGCTCCTGCCAACCTAGCCATTCGAAAGCACACTAGTGTAAATAGATAAATAGGTACCACTTTGGTGAGAAGGTAAACCGCATTTCCGTGTGTTCTGTTTTCTGTCACGGTGTTCCCTTGTGCCAGAAGCAGTTTAGTCATGCTGGTCATGACCCGGAAAGCTGTCTGTGGACAAATACTGGCTCCCTCGACCTGAAAGCGAGATGAGCGCTGCACCTCATAACCACCTTTGACTGGACTTAACCGTCCAGGGGTCCTTTACCTTTTTTATAGGACATAGTAGCTTGATTTTCAGTGGCTTCCATTGAGTTCTGTGTGACAAAGGAAACAACCCAAAATCTGGGACACTGTTGAGGGAGAACTCATCTGGTACACTCCATCCCTCTCACTTCCATTCAAACTTTTTAAAAGCTCACCTCGGCCATCTTAAGCCATTTGCTAAATTCTTGTTGGCTCCTACTCAGAATGAAGTATGTGGTGTGGGGGCCCAGGGAAGGGACTTCTTTTGGTGGCTCCTTGCATACAGAACTCCTCCCCTACTGAGGTGCATTTGGCCCCATCTTTTCATAGTTTCGAATGGCTTGTTTAAGATATACCTGTTGGGAGCAGGAGAGACTTGAATAGATAAATTGATTTAGCCGCTGTTGCTATAAATTGCTACTTATGAGTTGTTCTGATCCATTGCTTTGTGTATTTATATATTGTTTCTATCTTGTTTTTGTTGTAAACCACCATGTGGTGTGCAACGGGTGGCATATAAATCTATAAAATAAATAAATAATAAAATTCAGATGTTTTCATGTGTTTGTACTGCAAAGAGCCAAGGAAACAGAAGAACATTCATTTTTTTTAGCATGCATCCCACACTTTGCCACATAACAACAATGATGTGTGCTGCCATGCCCTAAACATTTAAATATAAAAATAATAGAACAAAGCCTTTTGTGTTTCCTCTCAGTGTGATGCACTATTTCCGTAAAGAAAGAAAGGAAGCAAAATATGCCTGACATTTTCCGTGCTTGTTGCCATAATATTTAGGGAAAGTTCACACATTCAGGCAGCTAAATCATCACATTCTGGGGTCATCAGGGATCTCTGTCCCTTATTACCTCCTCTCTTTGCTTCAATTCTGGTGCCTTGGCTTCAGGTGATAAGAAGCAATGATCCATAGTGATTTGTTTCATAATGATTTATGCTATAGCCGTTCCACGCCTCCAAGTTATGAAGTGACAAGTGCAAATCACCCTTCATAGCCCCTTTCCTTTCTCCATATTTCTCAAAGCCATTAGAAGACCCTCTGATGCATTTTCACATTTTCAGGATACTCTTACGGAAGCAATAAGAACTCTTCTGTCTCTTGCCTTATGAAATTCATACAAGGTTCGCAGCTGCATCTAAACAGAATAAACCCATTTATCTATATTCCACAGTCAGTCATCCACTGTACCCAGAAAAGATGCATGTGGAATGGGTGATTTTCACTCAACCTATGCGAAAATTATATTGGTTCTAATCCATTAAGGCCATGAATTCTCCCTTTGCTCATCACTCTGATGTCATGGGAAGCAGTAGGAACTGTTACACTATCTCTGACACAGTGGAGACAAGGTGGTGTAGACAACTCGCAGAAGATGTCGCTCCAAAAGACATGGCAGATTTCAGAAGTGTGCATATGTCTTTGAATAATTTAGTTTCCCACCCAGATCTTTTGAAGTAGTCTATATACATAGCCTGTGTACAGTTGGCCTACAGACTGCACATGTAGGCAAACCCCCTCCCTGGCCTTCCTTTCTTTTTTTTGGCCGACTAGTCAGACCACATTCCATGCCCCCTGAGGATGCCCATTCCTTATTGGGCTGTTCTGGGGAAGGTTTTTGTGGGGGTTAGGAGTTGAGTGGACACACTAGTGCCCAGTTTCAACTCCCTTCAAATCTTGGGATTTCTCTATTGATTTCTATAGACAGCTCTAATTCCTGTCCCTGGGGAAATAGCTTGTAAATATGAACCAAGAAATAGCCCATGGAAATAATCATATATGGTTCTCTCCAGACTTTTCATATGTGTCTCTTCTTCCATCCCTCTTTTCCAGCCACTCTATTCCATTCCCACTTCTATCAAGTTTTCAGGTACCCCTTTTTTCCCCCATTCAACAGCCAGCATCTTGTGGGCACTGAGCACGCTTCTAATAGAATCATAGAATTGTAGAGTTGGAAGGGATCATAAG